CAGAGTAAACGCTCTATAGCACACAGACTATGTCCATTGGTTACTGCACACTTTTTAGATCAACTTTAGTGTCTAAACAATGAATAAAGAATCCAGTGTAACAAAACATATTGGCAGTTATGGAGGCCGTACAAAGCAAAAAAATCCCTTTATCTTCCCTGTCCACCTATTATTTTTTCAGCTAGATGTGTTTACAAGGTTTCTAGCACAGAATGTATACCATCTACTCCCATTTCTTGGATAAGGAGTTGCTATCTAAGATTAGGCGGGAGACACAAAGCAGTGAAATCAAGAAATGTAGAAATGTCTGGTGACAACACAAGAGGGCGCTCTGGATGGGCTTTTCATTCATTCTTTTATTTTTGGCTGTTTGCATTGGTGGGGATTTCAATGACTCTCCTCCTCCTTTTCTGTCAGGTCTTCTGTGGCACTGGCATTGGCTGCAGAGTTCAACACTTCTTCAAAATCTCCAGCTGGTTGTTTGGTGCCACCAACTTTTGACTAATGAAAAAAATAAAAAAGTGGTTATTCCAATGCTGAGTCTGCATGTCTGTAGAAAGACAAAATGTGTACTTAATGTGAAACTTTAGCGCCTATAATAAAACATTGCAAACAGGAGGGATTTTTAATGCAGAAGAGACCAACAGTAGTAATTCTCTATTGGATTAAAGTTTCTGATCCGCCTGCCTGCCGCTGTGTATGGAGCTGCACATTGGCAGCTCAGTGCACAATTTGGTCAATGCCAAGATGACTGAACTCCGCGCATTCATTGGAGTTATGCCACCTGGAAGCTATCCAACCAAAGATTACAGCGGCCAGCAGGGCGCTCCAGGACACCGCAGCACTGGAGTGAAGGTACATGTAGTTGAGCTATAAAAGAAAACCCGTATTGAGTCATCACATAGCAGGGAACATAAGCGCTATTAGTGCATCCCTTTCCTCCATCATTCCCACCTCTCCAGACCGCCAGCAGAGTGCCCTAATACACTATTTTTAAGCAAATTTTGACTTTCTGGAAGGAGAGACAAACAGCGGCCATGCACACTCCCCAACATAGGCACCATGTTACAGCATTTAGGACTAATGATTAGACAGACGGCGCTGAACAACTTGTCACATGTGCCCTTTGCCAACGAGATATCAACTCAGGGCAGGGGTAATGAATTAAAATTCACAGAGGTCTGATCGGTAAAATATTCTTCCAGCAGAGATCAGAATCTCATAATTTGTTCTGTGATAAAGATCCTTCACATCACAACCCCCCTTTACGACCAGTGTCCTTGTTCCCCCTTCACACTGCAGTCCCCTCTTTACATCCCCCCTTACTTTATAGTGCCTGTCTTTATATCACAGGACCCCTTTTACATCACAGTCCCCCCTTTACAATATAACCCCCATTTACAATACAGCCCCCATTTACATCACAGTCCCTGCCTTTATATTGCAGTCCACCCTTTACATTACAGATATGTATCACATTCCCCTTGAGAAAGTCACGTGACAAGTGACGAAACGCATCGGGGAGCAGCAGCTTTGGATGACGTCATGACATAATACGGAGCCGGAGAATACTACGGCGGTAGGGGTGCACACTGATCCATATACGATTGCACCGGAGGACACGGTTTCTTTTGATCTGCTATATGGAAAGATGGTAATATCAGAGGGCACACTGCTTTAGCTTTATTACTGCTGACTCTTCACAGCACAGTTTCTCCAGATTGTGGAGCAATTTATATCAGAGGCTTAATACTCTCAGTGCGGTTGGGCACCTTGTACATGTGAGTGCTCATTTTATATTTATTTTGATATTAGAATGCTTTAAAGTGTATGCACTATGTGGAGTGTTTTGTTTATGAGGTGAAGTGATGGTGGGAGTTGTATTCCAAACAAGGTGTGAACCACAGTTAAAATCAATCAAGTTGATCTTCAGCGTCCATTTTGGGACCAAAAGTGCAGTTAGACCAAATATAATACTACATGCGGTCACACTCGGTGATTGTAGAAGGATGGAAGCACTATAAAGAAGATTCTTTGACTTTTTATTTCATATTTTTATCAATATTTTGATTTAGGTTCTGTTTTTCATATACTTTGTAGCACTGTCACTGTACATATTGATTTTATCTATTTTATGGGATAAGGGTTATGTGCTAAAGCAGCTACTTAACGGTTTATGCTTTATTATATTGCACTATCATATTTAGCTATTATTAGGAGTAAGCTTATTGCTGAACCATAGAAGCGCGCAAGATTTTATTTATTTATTTTAATGGCAGATATGTAAATCATGCAAGAAGGGGTAAAAATGGGGTGACATTGTCAGGAATGGACTTGCCAATAGTGGTGGGACTCACCTGCCTTGTGGGCTGCAGAACCAGGGCTGGCCAGCGGGTGCTCTCAGCAATCAGAGACTCACCCCTGCAGTCAGCCAAAACACCTGAAGCTGATTGCAGGGGTTTGTATTTAAGGAATGGCCAGACTCACAGTCAGGGCCTTGGTGTGTGTTTTTCCATGGGCCCCTGTATCTTGTAACCTGCATTCCTGTTCCTGTTTCTGCCCGACTTGTTGCCGACCCTGCCTGATCCTGACCTCTGCTGACTTCTCCTGTTTGATCCCTGGCTTGTGACCCTGACCATTCTCTCCGCCTGCTCCTCCTGTACCTACCTGCCCGATAGTTATCGACCCGGCCTGCCCGACTACGTTGTGCTCTATATGTGTATGTACCTGTGTATCTATATCAGTTTAGGTTTTATACCATATCTGAAGCCCGCGGTTCCCTGTGTCAGTTCACACCCCTCTGGTCATACCCGGAGCCCTGACAGACATACTGGATTTTAGGGCGAGACATGGTTGCATGCTGGGTGCCAGACATTTTCTTCCCGGAGGAGTGTGGGGATAGGGGGTACACACAGATTATGCGGCTTCCTATGTAACTAACCTGTCACTTTACAAGTATAGGAAGGCAAAGGTTTATTTTTTAAAATGTAATTAGTACCTATTCAATGTATTAATTAATGTAATGTAATGTATTAATTAATGTACCAGATGTTGGCTTTTTAAAAAATTGACTGTGGGTATGTAATTGACTGTTTTGGTAACATCTCATTTCTCATTCTGACATTTTTAATTAAGGAGGACACACTATTTGCATCTTAACAAATTAGAAAACACAACCCCAATGAATTTCAGAAAAACAACCTTGTCTGAAAAAATCAACACGTTTATTTATAAAAGGTCAAAGCATTTTCTTGCTGATCTTTTTGCCAACGACCCATCATTTTGTAGTTTCAGTGAGTTACAGTTTATAGGTTTTCATTATTTAATCTGTGAATTCTTCTTTTCCTTGCTATTCTATTCTAGCCATTTTGTACAGTATAACAAAGAATATCTGCCTTTAAAATGAAGAGAAGCTTCTTTCACAAGGGAAATGTTAACGGATAGATTCATCAATCTATATATAGTGAATATGATCATTTCTATAGAAAACTAATGAAACTGCAGAAATTAGAACATATTAATAAATAATATTTTATTTCAGTGTAAGGTTTATATTAAAAAATAAAATTGCAAATTATAGCTTATTGCTATGCATTAACATCGTTCAGTCAGATGTCCAGAAATCAAAGGCACCCAATCCCCAAAAAAGAGATACAACATATATTAACAAAGAAAATGGATTTTTAATGGTGCCAATATATAATCCAACAAAATATTATAAAAATAATAATTTTATTGAATAACAGCATACAAAAACAAACACCATGAATATGGTATTATTAAAATCATCACTTAAATTCAATGGAAATCAAAATGACTTTGAACATTGTCACAACAACATCTACTCAACATGTTTCACCAAAATCAGTTGGGAATTATGCCTGGGAACTGTTTTATGTTTCCTTTTTCTCATTATTTTCAAGTTGTGATGTACCTGAAATTAACTGAACTTTTTGATTGGTAAATAGGACTTCATGGCTGCATTAGGGTGACCACAGAGGTTTGATTGGTGGCCATACGGACTCTCGGGGCATCCCTCTCAGGGAGGGAACTCTTGTGCCCCATCCCTGGGATTGGTGCCTAAGTGGTGCCTTTGTTTGGGTCACTGTCGCTTTTGGGCCCCCTCCATTGGGCTCTTGTCTTTGGGAGGTCTGGCTGGTCATCCTGTTGATGTGGGATTGGCTGCGCCTTTCTGGCTGCGATGGGCAGACTAGCTGGATGTTCCAAGATGGAGCGGGTGGCCTCTCGCGCATGTATGTAATGGCTTTGCACAGCCCTGTGTGCGCCGTGACATTAGGGAGATGGTGACACATGCGCACTGGTGCCCGCACCTCGCCAGTGATGTCAGATGCCAGCAAGGTGGGAGGGATATATAAGGCCCGTCAGTCGCATTTGTTGTTACTGTGACATTATTTCTCTTGGAGACAATTTGAGATTACAGGCAACCTTTTTTTTCCTCTTGTTTTTGTGGCTGGTAAGATACTGTGAATGGATGACTATTGGGGAGGTGGAACATTTGTTTTATGCCATATTAACACTATATGTTGAGTCTCCCCTTTATTCTTTTCCCATTAATTTAGTGAGTGGGTCATTTGTCCCTTTAGTGCCTTGGGGTAGATGAAGGGTTAGTGTTCATTTACTGATAAATGTGATATCTGATATTTGGCGTAATGCATTTGCTTATATATATTTTATCTAAATAGTGACACCATGTGCAGTGCTCATAAACCTCCTGAAGAATTCAGATTTTGGTGGAACATGTTGAGTAGAAGCTGCTGCAAAAATGTTCATAGTCATCTTGACTTCAATTCTATTTAAGTGATGATTTTAATAATAACATATTCATGGTGTTTAATTTTATATGTTGTCATTCAATAAAATCGTTCTTTTTTTATATTTTGTTGTTGGAGCACTGTATATGTTGGCAGCGTTAAAGATCCCTTTGTTAATATTTGTTGTATTTATAATTGTGTAATTTATTAATTATTAGAACACACCGTTAACCACTTCCTGTCCGGCCGCTGTATATAAACGGCCGGACGGTGGCAGTGCAGGGGCGGGTTGCCATTCATAAATGGCGCCTGCCATATTGGACTGTGTGTGCTCCCTGGGAACACCGATCGCTGTACGGGACCTCTGTGTGAGGTCCCGATCATGTGATCACTGATTGGCCAATCAGTGATCACATGAATAGGTGTAAGCAAGATGTCACTTCTGACATCATTGCTTACTACATGTGAAATCTGTGAATGATCACAGAGATCACATGGTACAAGGCTATTCACAACAGCCTTGTACCATGTGACAAGCTGTGACCAATCACAGCTCACACAGTATTTCTCAATGGCTGCAAGAATGCAGCCAGAGAGAAGGAGAAATGATTGCTTTTACAGCCTTTATGGGTGTAAAAGATATCAGTGTAAAAAAAAAAAATCTGCATTACCCCCCACAAGTAGTACAGTGTCACTATGGTGATACTGTACTGCTAAGGTGACAGTATGTTAATAATATTATAAACAAATAAAATAAAAAATGTAAAAAAAAAAAATTGAAAAATTATAATTTTTGGTTATAAACTAATTTGGGGGGGGGGGGGGGGGTTTACTAAAAAGATAACTGAATACATTTTGGCCAAGATATATGAAGAAATATTATTTATTTGCAAAATTTTATAAGAAAAACACTTTTTTTTAAAAAAAATGTTTGGACTTTTTCATTTATGTAGCAAAAAAAAAAAATTAAAATCCCAGTTGTGAATAAATATCACCAAAATAAAGTTTTATCTGTCTCAAAAAAATGCTAAAAAACTCATATGGGTACAGTGTTGCATGACCGCGCAATTGTCATTCAAAGTGTGATAGCACTGAAAGCTGAAAATTGGCCTGGACAGGAAGGGGGTAAAAGTGTCCGGACATAAAGTGGTTAGCCTAAATAAACCCTTTGAGTCCCAGGGCTTTTTTCAGGTTTTGGATGTGATAGATTGTCATGCATTTGCTGCTTGGCAGTCAACCTAGCCAATCTTGATAATGTTTTTTGATATTTTGGGGGAACATACAGTAATTTCTTCTGATGCCACACTTGAATTTATATGCATTGTTTTAAATGAGAGGAAAAATGGTGAAAATTATGAAAAAAAAGCAATTTTTTTGTTGATTTTGATCACATAAAATTTTTTTTCATAAAAAGTACAGGTTCTGCATACAGCTGGTTATGTACATGAATGATTGTGTGCAGTTATATGTCGGTATATGCCAATACTCTACTACAGGTAAACCTGCATATGCCATACAGGTGTATGCTTGATAACTGAACAGCTGTTCATGGGTTTATGGCAGTACTCGGATAAACATACTGTACATATAGTGTACATCAATATGCCTGCATGCTATATGCATGTTTACTTGAGTACTGGCGTATACCCGCATACATTTGCACACAGGCATTGTGGGTGGGAGGCTGTATGCAACAATTGTGCTTTTGTCATGTTACAACCAAAAACGTAAATGTATTTTATTGGGATTTTATGTGATAGACCAACACAAAGTGGCACAAAATTGTGAAGTGGAAGGAAAATGATAAATGGTTTTCAAAATGTTTTGTCTTCAGAATTCACCTAATTAGTAAATAGAGTCCACCTGTGTGCAATTTAATCTCAGAGAAATACAGCTGTTCTGTGAAACCCTCAGAGGTTTGTTCAACATTAGTGAACAAACAGTATCATGAACGCCAAGGAACACACCAGACAGGTCAGGATAAATTTGTGGAGAAGTTTAAAGCAGGGTTAGGTTATAAAAAAATATCCCAAGCTTTGAACATCTCAAGGAGCACTGTTCAATACATCATCTGAAAATGGGAAGAGTATGGCACAACTGCAAGCTTACCAAGACATGGCCATCCACCTAAACTGGCAGGCAAGGCAAGGAGAGCCTTAATGAGTAAAGCAGCAGCCAAGAGGCCCATGGTAACTCTGGAGGAGCTGCAGAGATCCACAGCTCAGGTGGGAGAATCTGTCCACAGGACAACTATTAGTCGTGCACTCCACAAATCTGGCCTTTATGGAAGAGTGTCAAGATGAAAGCCATTGTTGTAAGAAAGCCATAAGAAGTCCCATTTGCAATTTGCGAGAATCCATGTGGGGGACACAGCAAACATGTGGAAGAAGGTGCTCTGGTCAGATGACACCTAAATGGAACTTTTTGGCCTAAAAGCAAAATGCTATGTGTGGCAGAAAACGAACACTGCACATCACCCTGAACATACCAACCCCACCGTGAAACATGGTGGTGGCAGCATCATGTTGTGGGGATGCTTTTCTTCAGCAGGGACAGGGAAGCTGGTCAGGTTTGATTGGAAGATGGATGGAGCCAAATACAGGGCAATCTTAGAAGAAAACCTGTTAGAGTCTGCAAAAGACTTTAGACTGGGGCAGACATTCATCTTCCAGAAGGACAATGACCCTAAACATAGAGCCAGAGCTACAATGGAATGATTTAGGTCAAAGCATATTCATGTATTAGAATGGCCCAGTCAAGGTCCAGACCTAAATTCCATGGAAAATCTGTGGCAAGACTTGAAAATTGCTGTTCACAGACGCTCTCCATCCAGTCTGACAGAGCTTGAGCTATTTTGCAAAGAAGAATGGGCAAAAATGTCACTCACTAGATGTGCAAAGCCGGTAGAGACATCCCCAAAAAGACTTGTAGCTGTAATTGCAGCGTAAGGTGGTTCTACAAAGTATTGACTCTGAGGAGCTGAATACAAATGCATGGCACACTTTTCACATTTATTTATAAAAAATGTTGAAAACCATTTATCAGTTTCCTTCCACTTCACAATTATGTGCCACTTTGTGTTGGTCTATCACATAAAATCCAAATAAAATACACTTACATTTCTGGCTGTAACATGACAAAATGTGGAAAACTTCAAGAGGTATGAATACTTTCAAGGCAGAGAGAGAGAGAGAGAGAGAGAGAGAGAGAGAGAGAGAGAGAGAGACATGGGGTAGTTAGAGCTCATGGTAGATGCTCTATTTTAGTGAGTCCACAGCAGACAGGAACTATTTTTAGGGGTTGGTAGTCCATTTCTATTTAAAAGAAATTAAAAATTCCCAAATGAATTATCTTCTCCAACTTCAGCAGAAATACACACACTGGAAAATGCCAAGCCACCTGGCTCATAAGCTCACTCAGCTTCAATGGCAGTAACATGCTGCTCCTCTTACCAGTCTCTCTGACTGTGTTGTCCAGCTCTCCTGGATGCCTGGGCTCTCTAACCTTTAGTCACAGCACCCTACAGTACAGCCCACCTCTAGGCTATGGACTGGGTCCTCCTGACACCCTGATAGGAGCTTACGTGGCTCCTGGAATAGAGACCTCAGTCTCTTGACTTCTGGCTGGGTCCTTTGCCCCCTCGATGAGACCTTCCATCTTCCACACTGGGAGCGGTCTCAAACTGGAAATTCTAAGCTATTCTCAGACCTGAGTATATATTGAAACCGCACACCTGGACACCAGAGCTGCAGAATCCAGAGAAAGCCAAGTCCCCAGCTTTCTCTGCCCAGAAATACTAGTCTGGAACGTTGCATTCACCCTAAATGCGAATCTTGTGTCACATTTTCCTATCTTCTCACAGTGACAGAGTCTCATCCTGCCACAATATACATACACAGAGTATATTTTACACTACTTTTTTTTACACTTTTTTATTTGTCTGTGAAGGTGTTCATTTATCGAGGTCATGGTAGAGCTGATTCTGTAATGTTTAAGACATCAAATAGGTTATACCCAGCCACTTCTTGAGTGCTAATGAGTGTCAGGAAGATATCCCAGTATTTATATCCACACCTAAAGACACCTTATTCCAGTCACATGGAATGTGTAGATGCTGATTGTTCAAGAACAGGATGGGAGGTGTGAAAGTTGTGAGGTCCACATTTTCACATACTGTATACAGTCATTCTGTTTTACCATCCCTATACAATTTGACAATTCACACCTATAGCCCAGGGAAAGACTGACCATTTGGACCTGGGGCCAGTAGGGGCCCCATCAGGGTTGCCAACCTCAGTAAATTTATGGAGAGTTTGTAAAATTCTGTGATTTTTTATGCCTGTTCCTGAATGTCTACATTTTTACAGACATTGGATGTCTGTAACAGACATTCAATGTCTGTAAAAATGTAAAGTCTACAGTAGATGCCTCCTCAGCTAATGGGAGCACACTGTACCTGCCCCCTGTCCCAACGCATCGCATTTGACTATAGAAGAGGAGATGCTGCCAGCTGGATGGCGGAAGGAGGAGGGATGAGAGAACACAGCCTGCAATCTGGGATGGGCTAGGAGAAAGCAAGCTGGCTGGGCAAAAATGTAGTCTCATCAGTGGCTTACCTTGGTGAGCAGGAGGAAGGGGAAGAGGATGGGCTCTCTCTAGCACGGATCCGGTCTCGGAGGCTGGTAAATCAATTTTTTGTTTGAGGAGAACTGCACCTCTTCTTTAGGAAGGACCTGTTCTAAACATCTCAGATCACCCCTAAACTCTGCTACATCTTTCCTGCTCATTACCTGCTCACCAGAACACAGGCACAGCCACCTCCTCTCCTGCATTACCACCTCCTGTGTCTGTGAGCTGCTGGGGCACCACAAGTCACAGCATGCCATTGCCAGGAGACGGGGGCAGCAGCAGCAATGTGTTATAGAAGACTGATATTTAAGCCTGGTACACAGAATGAGAATATTGGACAAATGATTTGGTTTTTTTTGCATGCTAGTCTCATATAACAAATGTAGAGGTTACTAAAGTTATAAGACTTCTCGTACAACAAAATACAACTTCAGAAGTCATTAATATGTTGTATTGTATTGTAATGTATTCTTTTTGTTTCTGAGCATGCGTGGTCTTGCTTTCTGATTTTACATATACTGTACTGATTAAATGAGAACCGTACAATCTGGTCTGGTACGAAAAAAAACATTTTGTGTTTGTCCTTTCGAATAATTTTGGACAAAGCTGTGTATGAACGATCAGATTATCGTATGATCAATTAGAAAGCGTTATTTTTACATGTGCGTCTGTCTGTGTGTGTATGGGAGTGTGTGTGTATACTGTTTACAGTATGATCCATGTGTGCCCACTGCCGCTCAACAAAAGTCAATCTACCGATCAACGTGTGTTGAACAGACATGTTGGAAAAAAAAGATGCTTGATCAGCGGCTGTGTTGCCAACCATCCATACATGTCCAGAGACAGGAGAAATATCCCTGTAAAGAATCCACTTGTTGCCATTCAGAGCCAGGAGAATGGTGAACTGCTGATCTTGGCCTCGGATCGGGCAGCAG